TCATAAGGTCAAGGTAAGAGATTTCGTTTGGCGCGTCAGCTACCTAATGAGCTATTTAGTCAAAAATTGAGGTTGAGGAAGATCTTATAGGTTTTATAAAACATCGAAGGCCCACGTCAAAACTATGTAGGGTAGGTAGCATAATAAGAGTTTGAGTAACATAGCGCATTTTGAAATGTAATCATGGCATTTTAGCAGAGACTTTTGGCCTTAAAAATGAAATTTTCTGGTCGATTTATACTAATGTAAGATATTCATAGGCGTTGTGCTGTCCGATTGCGAATAATAGAAGACATGATGTTGAAATTTAGATCACCTTTTTCAAAGTTATACCACAATAGGAAGCAAGAGAAAATGCAAACATGACTTGCAAATTTCGCTTAAAAAACCAGTAGCACGAACGAGTTTTCGTAATGTTGACGCGATGTTTCTCTACACATACTAAAACGAGCAATAAACATCGTCTCGAGACAATTTCAGGGAGACAGCGCTTGTACTTTTCCTTGCAACATTTCGTGTTTTGTATAGAACACGAGCTGTGACGATTCTATAGAAGAGAACAGAACAGCGATGAGTGTAAAATGATTCAATCAAGCCATTTCTGCAGAGTTGAAAGAAGACTTGATGCCACCGGTTTTCTAGATCTGGACACTTTATGGGATGGACATTAGCATTGTGGTGTGACCACCACGAACAATTGAAGGAATGGCAAAAATGCATTCAAAGTGCAGGTTTTTACCCTATTCCCCTCCCTAGCATTCTTCATTCCTCAACGCCTTTATTCTTTGACCATATTTCATCACTGCGTTTTAATCAGGGCTTAAGGATGATTGCTTGGAAACAAGTGAACGAATGAATTCGAAGTTGAGAGCAGGGCTCAAGTTGACTGGAAATTGAAAGGTGGATTATAAGGCGGGGGGGGGTCCTAGCTTCCTATTAGAGCCTCTGATGAACAAACGGCTTCAGAATTTTGGCTCTTCAATTCAGAAAGTTATTAATAATGAACAGCAGTGATTTTATCTGATTTTGCGCAATACATAGAAGAAATCGTATCAGAAAATTTACATTTTGAGTATAATGTACAACGTTCAGTGAGCAAATTATAGAACGATGAACTTACAGAATTTTCAATAAGCGCACGAAAAATTGATAGAATTGAAGAGAGGCCGTTACGATTAAGAGTTGCCATCTTCGGCAGAAAAACGAAACTGTATTAACAAAATTTATGGGAGAAATGAGAAAAAAAAGGAGACTTGGGGTAAGAAAGTAGCATTAAGTTTGTATAAGCACCATGGCCAGCTCTCCGTAGAAGTAGATAAATATATAAACAATAATCTATTTTGTAATAATAATAATAATCTGTCCAAAATCTATTTTGTTTTGAATTTAAAATTTTGAAAAGTATTTTTCCAGTTTTTCTTGAAGAATAACGTTAATTAAAAAAAGTCGAACTATCATTGTTAGCATTAATTATTGTTAGAAAATGAGAAGCATGAACTGACAATAAGAGCGCTTACCTATCTTTGAATCAACTACTTACAACTAACGAGCAAAAAGTGAGACTCGGCCACACTTTGCATTCTACTTTACACCGAAGAATGAATGAAAAAAAAAAGCCATATCAACACCAATACTTCTAATGAGCTTCTTAATGGGATTTGTTCGTAACCTGTTCATATAACAATAAGAAGTTTGATTGCTTGACAGTTTCTTCAGAAAACTTGTTATGTTAGCAGGGGAATCGTAAGGAGTCCATTTTTTGCGCCAAAAGGGAATCAAGAAGCAATCGAATAACGTGATTAAGAGAGGACCATCGGTAGCGATTAAAGTTCCGAACGAAAAAAAAACCAAAATTTTTCTTTAAATGGAGGTGCACACTGGCCATGCAAGGTCTTTTTAAAATTCTTTCCATTTCTGACCGAATACAAAAAAGGGGGAAGCCATGCCCGAAAATGTTTTTCAAATATTTTTCACAAGAATATTTTGAGTTTTTGAAGAATTTCAAAAGTATAATTTACAAGGTTCAAGCAACTGATTTGCACATCTGTATATAAAGCTTTCAAAAATTTCGCGACCCATTCTCGGTGATTGTAGAGGTCTGATTAAACTGTTTTCAATCCTGCATTTTTTTCAAAAGTCATGAAAAGCGATTGGTGACAACACTAAGCTCATTTTGAGGGATGGTTCTTCCGATCAATAAAAATTGGATAGGCAATGGATCCAAAACTAGAAGAACAAAGCAAATGTTGATATGAAATATCTGAATTTTGGCGCAATGGTAGTTCATTGCAAGACGGTTCGAATGGATGAGTTGTTTCTTCTTCAGGCAGATGCGACAAAAAAGCTTCAGATCGCTAGCCAGAAAGTGATACTGAAATTCCTGGTTGGCTACTGCTCCTCTTTAAGCTTTAGTTTACGAATTTTTCTACTAAAGTTGATTTTACTGGAGAGAGCATTTGTTTCGTTCTATTTTGATCTTGCTGCGTTTATAAAACCAATATCATTTATTGTTAGTTTGATGTGATTTTGATATCATATTCGACAGCTTGCAAAAAAAACCAAAAAAGATGGCCACTTAGCGAAGAACCTCTAAAAATGAAGACTTTTACCCTCTCTTCTTTGTACGGGGAGTCAAAAATGGTTGTGACAGATTTAATGAGGCTTAGCAAGGGATGAAGATTATCACAATTAATCTGTTAAACGATTAGCAACTGTCTCATGGGAGCTTAGGGTATAGCTGAAACCATGTAATTTTGTTTTTTGCTTTCGCATTCTTTTTTGCCCCTGCTTTTGTCTCTTTTCATGCACCTATGTAGGAAACTGTTTCGCTCAGATACTAGGAAATACGCTCACACGCTTATTAAATAGGTATGAGATTGCAGTAGGGAAGACACCTTTTTCGTACCCCCCCCCCCCCCCCCCCAGTTCACGCTTCTTGTTCTTGGAACTGGTAACTATTGGTTGTTAGCTGTACGCGCCTGCTTGCGATTTCCCTGGGTAAAAAAAGCAATTTTCCAGGTCCCATTGAGAATTGATAGCGAAAAGTTCATGATGAAAAAAAAATCCACTCCGATATAAGTGACCTTTTGTATGGTCCAAGTGATCTGTTTTTGGAAGCTATAGCTATGCTGTTGGAAACCTATGCGAACAGTTGCTTCCTTAGGATGAGAGCGTGGTATTATTTAATAATCAAACTAAAGATTACATGATCAACACTGGAATGTGAAAATTATTTTTGCTTCACGACACTTGCCATTCTAATCAGAGGCATTTCCTCTGTGTCAAGCTTAGAGTCCTTCGTAATTTTCTAAATGATAATATTGTCGAAGTGAAATTGTGCTTATTGTGCTTCAGAAATTGCTTAGAGGAAATTGAAGTGGCTCCTTCAATTGTGCTTGTTCAAAATGCTGACATCATACGGTAGGATCAATCTAGTCGTCAGTTCGAAATAATGTTTCATGTCTCAGAATCTTTTCTAAGAAGCTGTATTTTGGACTCACTATACCAAGCAAAGAAAGTATTTGTGCAAGTTTACACTTTGAATACACTACGGCATAAGTTTTTCGTAGCTTTGGTCTTCCGGAGCTTGAAAGATGATAAAACCCTCGTTTGATCAGCAGAATTTCGGAGCCTTCGTTGCAGCCTCTGCGTGCCGTGGCTTAAACTGTTTGAACTGCTTGAAGGCTTCTTTGTCATGTAACTACCATTTTTTAAACATTTTTGAGCCTTTTAATTATATTAAGTTCTGACTGCTTCAAAGTTTGTAAAAATATTGAGGTTCTCTTGTTTTCCTTCTCAATGTGAAATGGTGGATGGGCGGATACTCAAGGGCCGGGCATACTTCACGCGATTCTAGTCGTGACGCGATTTGGCAATTCGCCAAAAGTCTTCAGATCCAACATTAGCAAACTGCACATGCATAGTGTGTATAACTTGCGTGGATTGATATAATGCCCTATCTTTGTACAAATTAAATGTGCTTACAGTGAGTTATGGACAGTCGGAATATTGCCAAATTGCATCGCGACTGAAATCGCTCGAAGTATACACCCCGTCACGCCAACTTAACATGCGATTGGTTCATTCCTTATGTATCTCCGCCCAATACAAGGTGTGCTTGGCCAGTAAATATTTTCACAGATAAAGTACCCAGCTAAGAATCCCACCAATTGTGCTAGCAACTAGAATTTCTGACATTTCGGCGTTTTAAAGAGTCTCAACAGCAGCAATCAAAAGAGGGCTTTGGTTGTATTTATGCGTTAATTCCATATTAATGCTACGTGAGAATCAAGAATTATTTCAAATAGCTACCGAAAGCTTGATCTAAAAATCCCAGGGACGCTAACAAACTGGAGCTTGCAATATCTTTGGCTGTGATTTAATTTTATCTGTAAGCTAATGGATTAGCTGTGATGCGACGCTGCAAAGTGAGAAACAAAACGTTTGGAACAGATGAATTATATGAGGGTGGAAGAAGTGAAAGGTGGAAAGGAGGAGAAGGAATGTGAAAATGCGTACAAGAAAGGCAAGCATACCGGTGGATTTGGGTGCTCTTATTTCTTATAAACAGCATCCATGAGATTTACTCCTAAGTGAAATAATCAGCTTCAAATTGTCGCCCATAGGGTGGTCTTTTCGAACGTACCAATCATCGTCTTCGAGTACGTTGATAAGTAATAAGTACGGTATGGGCATCGTTAGGGTGAATGCTTTGCCCCGAATGAATATATGAACTACAGCTTGGCAATAGTCAAGTTGAGAGCATCTCAAACAGTTCTCTCGCATAGTAGTTAGTTACCTCCGCCTGGATATTGTCTTTGCGGGAAAGAAGATAGAAATGATTCAATTTTTTTCAATATTGATTGTTTGATGCTATTCTCTCTGTTTCCGTAACAGTTGTACCGGCTTTTCCAATACAAGCATTGCAATGTTGCTGATTTTGTCTGTGGCAAAAAATTAGGTTTTCCCAGCGGACACAGAACAAAAAAAATAACACTTACCGGTTCGTAATTGTTCCTCTGATTGAACAGTCTCATTTTTTAGCACTCTATCTTCAGCTATTTAGTGAATGTTTGACTTGTAGATCAAAGAAGAGTAGCGGTTGGTCAGCGGATCAGTGGATTCGGGTACGGTTTGTCAGGCGATACACACCGCTAATCTGGATGGATTTAGACCGGATGTAGATCTGACAGCTGCCGGATAAACCCAACGCTTGTCAGTGCGTGACGGATTGCGGTCGTAGAGCTTATGATTATATTTGATGACGATCAGGATTGTTCAACATGGAGACAAAAGATTTGTTTATTATAAAACTGGTGTGGAATGAATGACGAAGGTAATCAATAAGCTTTTTATACTATCAAAGCATAGTATTGATTGTTACTCATTCAGATATAATAAGCTTTTATTGGCTTAAATGCACGTGCCTACTAGTAGCCTACTCATTGAAGAGATTAGCATCCTAAATTTCAGCACTTTAAGCTCGAAACGTAATCAAAGATCTTTATAAGTGCAAGCAAATTTTCTGAAAAGGAGGCTACGAGAAACATATTTCATTTTTCATTTTCATTTATAATACACTCATGGGGCATCTAAAAAAACAACAAAGGATTCAGACTCAAGCTAGCTACATAAGATAGGAGTATAAGTATAAACAAGCATAACAAGCATAACAACATATGTAAGCTCGATGAAAATGAAGATGATGTAATGTACTCGATGTAAGCTATACAAATTTTCAATTTTCATTTAGATTAATAAGGCAAAGCAAACTGATATTGTTTATTTCAAAAATTGTTAGGAGTGATTTAGCCTAGCTGTATGCGAAAATATCACTTTTACGTATAATTCTTACACCAAAAATGCGGAAAATTTGCTTCAAAAATGCTTTAGACAATATTTCGAATTATATTTTGTGTGCTTCAAGCATATTAGGGATTTTATTCGAAACAAAATTGAAATATTTGAATATCGAGTTAAGAAAGTTGAAAATTGTAACTGCTAATAGGAAAGAAATATGCAGTCACCAAGAATTTTCCGCGTAGTAAGAAGAATCTCACACAAATCACCGGAACTTTCGCAGGAGAAGCCAAATTTGCAGAAGTTCCTCAGGACTTTGTTCACTATTGCAAAAATGAAAAAGCTGAAAATCGAAACTTCCGCGGGATTTTCATGACAAACTGGTTGAAAAGCGAAACTTCCGCAAAACCTTCTTCAAAATCCTTCGGTGTTCTCTTTTGCTGTTGTGGTTGGCATTCTTCGGAACTTCCGCAGGACCTCATTTCGGAACTTCCGCAACACGTTTACGGAACTTCCGCGGGTGAGCCGGCGGAACTTCTGAAAGCGCTCTGCGGAAGTTCCGGTCATTTGTCTGAGATTAAGTCGCAAAGCCATAATCAAAAATAAACTAGATTTTGCAAAGAAATTCTAGCATTTTTAAAGGCCAAAAATTACTATTCAAATCTTATTCTGGATTAGCTTGTATCACCTAACATGCCAATATTGAAATTCTCAAGCACTATAAGAAAGCGCAAGAAAGCGCATCATTTATCTCCTTTTAGGTCATGTTAATTGAACACATTGGCTGAAAGCACAAGTACTTGCACCTTCCAAAATTTTTTATGCAAGACTTATGGACCAACCTGACAGTTAAAAAAAAGCTGTAATGCTTATAATCATAACCTATTATCGCAAGAACATTTAGAGAATGAGAGGAATTAACAAATTGAAAATTTATGGATACGGGGACATTTGGACATTCGGGACATTCCTAGATTTTGATTTTTCAGACTGACCTTTTTTTTGTCCAGGACGTTTCTGGTTCTATATGTGATAGCCAATGCAAAGAAAAAAAAACATCTTTACAATTTTCTTTCCTAACAATTCGTTCGCCAGTAGACTCACATAAGCGATCTTTAAAGTGCGAAATTTCGAGTTCAGTTATTTTTGCTCAGCAAAGTTTTGTTATGTTTTATTTGTAAAAAAAATAATTTTTGTCTAACGATATGTATGCCCTTCATTATAACTCTTCTTCGACAAATAGTTTTTGCATCAATCTTTGACCAAATTTTGTACAATTGTGCAAAATGTATGAAGTAAACAAAATCAACGCTTTCTTGTTTCTGTGTAGATAAGCTAGTACAGTTTAAAACTATATGCTTACCTATTTAATGGATTTTTCACAATTTGTTACAGGCTGCGGAAATAGAAAAAGAAATCGAGAAAGAAATAAATCACCTGTGGTGCAAGAGCGACCATCGTTTTTTCTGGAAGAAGAGTCAACACAGCACTTGTGCATTTGCACTGGTGCGATTACCACCGCATGTAAATAGATTTGCGAATCTGATTCAGTATTGTTTAGCAAAAAAAATCAGATCGCATCAAACATCGACCACTCCCGAGTAGAGATGGGCTACTAGAGAAAGCCCTAGAAAGAGTGCACGGTTCAAAACATTGACGACAACGCAAGTTTTTGATAGTCTGTCTCTTGGGACCAAGACCTTTCGAGAACTAGCCAGCATTTTTCAGATAAAACCACGCATACTGCCATTTACAGTGTACATACAGTAGCTGTGGAATGCTGACGAAGAAGAGTTCTTCAACTAATTGTTCTCTTCGGTGAATAATTAGTGGGGCATGTCGCAGACCGATAGATAGAGAAAAGCAAGCTCAGGCCATATAGTACGAGCAAAAAAGCAAATAAAAACTGAGGCGAAAACTGGAAAACTCAAGACTTTGGCTCGGCTCACTTCTCCATCTCTCGTTAACACTGTGACAATCCCAAATAGTTCAACATACAGTAAAAGAGACGCATATACATACCCATTAGATCTACAGGGATTCGTGGCAAAAAACGAGGGAATCAAAAAGTGGCAAGCTCCGCCCCTTCTGACCCTAAGCTTCTCCCGCCTGCCCGGCTATGAGCCACATACATGTTAGCACAGCTTCAAAGTTTCGCTTTTTGCACATGCATTAAATCTCAGAAATAACATTGGCTAGAGAATGTTCAAGAATACCAATCTGATATATTAGGCTACAACGGACGCAGTCGTTCATGCACGTGTCATTTGTATAGTTCATTTATCAAATCGTGACGACGGATTTTACTGCGGACTTTGCGCCCATAGGAGCATAAAATACTCATACAAGAAGGCATCACCTCAACGTTCAGCTCAGCCACTTCCAGTGTCTAAGTATTATCATACGTAAGCAAAAAACCATTCGACTAGAGATAAAAACGAAGAAAATGCAACTTCCGGGTGTGGCGTGCGTATCGCGCGCGGTCGCGCCCTCGTCACGATTTTTCGAATGACCTATAACTCAAAATGTGAGTCTGCAGTGTGCACACTATGCGCGGCAATTCACGACACCTCATGGTGATTCGTCAGTAAAATCTTTCTTAGAGGATCAAACTGTTGTGTTGGACACTGTGTACTGCTTGATTAAAGGGAAGGAATAAAGGCGAATTATCTGAAAATTAACAATTATTATGGAGGACGTGTATCTTGCATTAAGCAGTACGCACTTACTCTAATTAACCTTTAAAAGTTCGATGTATTTTTTTCGCAGCTGAAAAATGCATCCCCAAGCCTGGCAGTCTGCTCAAAATCCCGAAAAAAGATTCTTATTCTTTTAGTGAGTTTATATGCTCGGGTCTGCGATCAATAAATTTTCTTTTCAAAGCATTGACTCGATAATCCACCAGAAGATTGAAATAATTCAAGAAAAAGCAGGACACGATATTTATGTCGAACCTTCGATAGTCTAAAAGCAGAGCCTAAAAAATGAAGATTGTTCGAGTTCCTGGACGCATGAACAACACTGGTTGTTTTGAGATAATTAAAAAAGAAAAAAAGATGCAAATAAAACAACAAACGAAAGAGACCGTCGAGATTTTTGCTTCAGGACCGCCTTCTCAAAACTCAAAGCAAGTAAAAGTCATGTCCTCGTATTGCGATAGTCAGAAGCAATCACAATACGGAGGTAACCTGTGAGAAGAAATTAGACAAGAAATATGTGTTGGCTGCAAGAAGGAAATCCTTGTTTACCCAGAAACCCATGTGCATGCAAATGGAAACCGCTTTTTTTGGTACTTAGAATTTTTGCGCCCGTCGTATTGTTTATGTTCTCGGCGACGCGGTCCGCGTTGTTCTGGTCATCATTCTGAGAGTTTGCGAACTCACTCGAAAAAAATTATGAAGAAAAACACGTTTCGCAGCTTTTTGCGAGTATTCCACCATAGTCGAAAAAGGAAGCTCAGCGACGTTGCCTACATCAAAGAAAAGCAAAACATATGCAGAAAAATCAAATAAAAAATATAAAAAAAACAAAATCAGATTGCCTTCTGAAGCGCGTGGAAGTAGCGAGGTAGCTCGTAACAAGTGGAGGCGCAGACGAGCAAATAGGAAAGAGCAGAGTAGGGGGGGGGGGGCATTTTGCTCTTCTCTGAGATTTTTTGATTTTTCATCGAAACCCTGCAACTTTGCATATTTTCTACCCATCATAATACGACTAAGAGCACTGACAACGTCGCCACTTAAAAAACACTCAACGAAGTAGTTCGCATTGAGCACTTACTGTTGCGGCTCGGTGGGCTCTGCGCCCCCTCACCTAGTGCTCGACTGCCTTGCGTCCAGCTCCTGTCCCCGAAGGACTTCCGCCACTGCGGGTGCGCGCCAACTCACAATGGCGCGTTACGCCTACACTGCACACAAAACAATAAAAATACATAAATTTACTAAACGAATATACACGAGAAAAATATACGACATAAATATAAACATACTTACCACGGGGAGAGTTAAGCTCTACCCCGGGCTACCGATGGGGACTCTAACTTACTCACACTCACACACTAGCACACTCACACACTCTCCCGGAATCCAAGGGAGCTACCCACAGGCCGGCCGCGCGCCGCCAAGGCAGCAGCTACGGCACGGCAACACCGACCCCATGATGTTAACCGACAGCATCAAACAAAGCTCCCAACAAATCCTGCGCAACCAAGGCGCTTCGTGATGTTCATCATCCTAAAATT